AGGAATGCATAATCTAATGCGGCATTTAGCTAATTAATAGGGGATTGATGAAAGGTTCGGTTTTGAAAGCAGCCATCTTGCTTGAATAAACGTGGTACCAGAGCCCCCTGGGGATGACTAGTCTAGCCCTTGGAAGGTAGGTATACAATGAAAGCTAATGGAAAGTAATGCAATTAACTCAGGCTTTTAATTATATTAATCAGTGACTTCATAGGAGCCCACTGCACACGGAATTCACTGCTTAACTCTCTGCCAATACCATGTTTCTGAGTCATGTCTGAGCCAAACTGAAACAGCACCTTGAAGAAATAGGTGCAAGAACATTTATATTATGTAGCCTTTCCCCAGACTAGAAGTTTTCCTAGTAGGGGAGAATAGAGAGAAGAGGAAAAAAAGAAGAGAAAGGTGAGGAGGCAATGGGCAATAATGAGCATTTCCAAAAAGAGAACTGGGCAAAAAGTTGTTTCGGTAAGACTGGTTGTTGCTTTATACTTTCTTCTACTTTCTGTGATTTGGACTGGGTGCATGAAAAAATGGCCCATATATTTTTAAATGTACATTTCAAATGTACCTCAAGAAACTCTTAACATATCTATATAATTTAGCAGTATTTTAATAGCTGAAAATAATAGCAACTGCCTAAATGATCATTAGTAAGGGAATAAATTAGAATCTATAAGATTAACTACTATGGGAACCAGCAGATGGCGTAATGGCTATGTCGCTGGACTCCCATGTAGTTGACCACAGTTCAAGTCCAGGACCCAGTAGCTTAAACTCACGCTGGGCATGTGTGTGTGCATGCCCAAGATCTCGAGAGGAGAAGGGACTGTGGCATGGCCATCCCCTCTGGGGGGGTGATTTCTCACTTTCTGTCTCTCTGTCTCTCTCTGTCTTTTTGGCGAGCGCATGCGCCCTATAATAAAAACCGCTTAAAAAAAAAAAAAAAGATTGACTACTATGTAGGTGAAGTAACTGAATTAGGTTTATATGAAACAACATGGACAATATTGAAAATAATGGTTTTTGTGTGGTTTTTTGTTTGTTTTCTTCTCTTTTTTTTCTTAAGAGAGAGAAGTTTTGGGTATAGGATATATGTGCTTGCTGGAAAGAAAGAGACAAAAAGTGAGAAATCAACCACAGAAGGAGGTAGCCTTGTGTCAATCCCTTCTCCTCCAGTCTCCTCCCACACTGTCTCTGTTATCCATGGTTGCTTTCTATGTCTTTTTCCCCCCCTATTTTATTGATTCACTAAAGATCTTAATTAATCTAAATATTTTCAATAGCAAGCACAGCTGATATATACATATCCATAAACACAAGTCTGACTTTAGGCATAAACCTCAGTGAGTAGAATGAACATACTATAAAGTAGCACCTCGCTGGGGCTATAAAGCCACAGGCTTTCTTAATCAGTAAGCAGTGTTGAGCATCTCATCTCCAATGAGAAGGGATTCAGTGGGGAAAAAAAAGTTTCTCTTCCCTCTCCTTTTTTAACCTCTCTTTGTAAAACAAAAGCAGCATGCTTACAGTCACATAGTGGTGTTTTTTCTTTTCTTTCTTTCTTTCTTTTTTTTTCCAATAACACAAAACTACAAAACTATTGTCTCACTTATTATTTTTCTCCACTTGACTGCCTCTGACTTCATCCTTTTCCATTCTTCTCTTTCAGGAAAAACTCACTACATACTTCTTCATGTCCCTCTGATCAATGTATTCTTTTACTGGGCTTTACTATTAGCTGCTACTGCTAGTGATTTGCTGAACATATTAAGGTGTGTGAATCTTAAATAGAGGGACTTAGTTATATTCCAAAAAACCAGTGCCCCTTTCAAAGCTAAGTCTTTCCAAACATTGATATGTTTACTAGTAGTAAATATTTTTTAGTGTGAGTTTTAAGTACTCCTGAAGAGATTTCACTAGCTGGCAGTTACAACTGCCCAAGATAAGGAGGTAATATCATCAGGCCAATAATTCATTTATTCAGTAAGAAACCAAACTCTATTCATTTTTTAAAAATAAATTATTTATTTATTTCATTTTATTTGTTATTATTATTTTTAATTTGACCAGAGAGAAGAGAGAGAAAGGGAAAGTGATAAAGCAAGCCACCAGGGCTGGGACTTGAACCACAATCATGTGGGAGTCCAGCACCTTAACTCAGAGTTACTTTTTTTTTTTTGGGAGAGGTTTTCTCTATAGGGCACGTGCGCTCGCCAAACAGACAGAGACAGAGAGACAGAAAGCGAGAAATCAGCCCCCCGGGGGGATGGCCATGCCGCAATCCCTTCTCCTCCATTCTCCTCTCGGGATCTTGGACACGCGCGCACATGTGCCCGGTGTGAGTTTTAAGTCACCGGGTCTGGGATGCAAACTGCAGTCGAGTACGTGGGAGTCCAGCAACATAGCCATTACGCTAACTGCTGGTCCCACAGTTACATATTTTAATCTGGAGATTAAATATGTGAATTCAGGTGAATTCTGCCTCTGATGAAGGCATTAGTAGACAATCTCACAACATTTCACAACACCCAGATAGTTAAGAATACAACTGGAATGTCTATTCAGGTTATTATTGCTCAGTCTCTCTTCTTGAATATGTATTGCCAAGAAGGTCATCGCTCTAATGTCTCTTTTGTCAACAGAACGCCTGAGAAGTGTGGTTTTCAAAATCTAGATTCCCCAGTGAGGCAACCTTTCAATGGACCTTTAAATGGCATTAAACTCTGAGTATTTTGAAATCAAGGCAGCATATTGTATTAGTCACTACAGTTTATGTTACACTGTGGTAACAAATACAACCCCAAATCTCAATGGCTTAGCACAACAAAGCTTTATTTTTTGCTCATTCAGTTTGGTTAGAAGTCTTAGCTTGAGCAGTCACACTATTTCTGGCTGAGAGGGGCACCATCATCTGGTGACACCACCATCTTAACATTTCTTGGGCAAGAAATTAGAGAGCTAGAGTGCCATGAAATGACTTTTCCCTGTACACATACAAATTCCACTATCCATTATACTGAACTAACTACAAGGTTCTACTTAACTATAAAGTGGCTCAGAAGAGTAGCCCTCTGTGAGGACTAATAATTCTCTATCAGTGCATGATCTCAGTTTTACCTAAACAATATTTTCACAAGGAAAATGCTCATCTAATTCTAAATTTTAAAACCTCCCTTTTGGTTAACATATTTTTTAAAGATTCAAGTTTCTGAAATTTTGTAGCCATTCTAAATATTCTAAATTCAGAATTTTAATGTGGATGTTTTGAGTTTTTATATGAATTGTTTAATATACTGTTTAACATATAATAAAATCATGTAACTATGATTTTAGTAATTTTATATAATCATGTAATTGGCACTACAATTAAAGCATAGACCTTAAGCATTTCCTGGGACCCTTTGCAGTCAATCTCAAGGCCTAACCATCTCTCACTCCAAGTAATCATTAATCAAGGTAGTTTTAAAGGTTTTAAATTTTATTTGTAGCATTTATTTTATTATTCAAAAGAAAAAGAAGTCTTTTGTTACCTTTTGTAATTCAGATAGGTCATTTGATAAATAATGCTATTCATCATTCACCATATTTCTATCATGGCATTCAAGAACTATTCCTGGTATTCAAGCAGTAAGATATATATAGCCCAACATACTTCTCAAAGGCAATATCCTGGTGATTGATTTATTTAGAACATGTCCATGGCTTCATTTATGCCACATTCACGCCACAGTGTCAAACAGGAATGGTTCTTTCTCTTCATATCTAAAACAGTATCAAAATTGAGCTGAGAGAGGGCAATTGTTAGGCGATCTTCCAAATTTTGCTTTGGGATTTACAGAAAAACTACTCTGTATATTGATGGTAATATTGATAGATAGGAACATGTCAACATGTGTGAACGTGTATGTTGGAGAGTCACTACAGTGAACTGCTACAAGTATTCATTGCACTGATGAAAATCCCCTTCCCCCCTCCTCATCACAGAGCTGTGACAAGGGATCACAGTAAATCCAAGCTGGGGAAATGAACTGTGTCAGCCCTCCATCAATGGGCACTGCGATAGGAGGTTGTCAAAGCCCCAGGGACCAGGTAAGTTACCCATCCCTTTCAAACCCAATTGCAATTTGCCCTTCCCATCTTGTGGGGAGAGGAAAGATTGTCAGGAAGGCACTCACCGCAGTGTTCTGGGTATGCACAGTAGTGCCTGAGGACTCTGTACGAGACACCATCTTGGTGGTCGACAGAGAGAGTGTGGAACAGCCCAAGGGCAAAGGGCAGGGGTAGCATAATGCCATTCTTCTCTTCCCTGGTAGAAAAAGAAGGCAACTGTCTGTGTTTCTGGAGAACCCAATGATGGGGCAAAGTGCTGATGGTCTAGGAAGGAAGTAAGGCATTGAAACACATGTCCCCACACTTCAACTGAAAATCCATGTGGAAAATTTGCTAACACAGCATTGTATTCCCGAAATCTTCAGGGAAATCGGACCTTTCTGCCAGCAGCATTGCCAGTATCCACAACATTCTAGACTGCTTGTGGTATTCATGGCTTCACAATGACTCCACAAACATTTAGAGAACACTGGCTCTGTGCAAATGTTTTTGTTTGCTATATTACAATAACAGGTCTGGGTAAAGTCAAAAGACCATGATTGGTGAGGTTTCTCTTGCTGGTAGATAATATTGTGGCTACACAGGGCATCACATGCAGGAGACTGAGCAGAGCCAGAGCACATGCTTCCTTGTCACTGTGTCTTTATCTCATTTTCTCCTTAGGAACCAGGAGATTCAGTCCTTGGGGACTACCCTGATGACCTTAATCTTAATCATCTCCCAAAGACTCCACCTCTTAATCTCATAATATGAATAAGTTTCCGCACTCTCAACACTGCTATAATGGCCAACCAAATCTTAACACAGGAATTCTGGGGGGACACATTCAAACCCATAGCAGCAAGGCAAAATAGCATGGTTGAAGAAGAGAGCCACAGCCTGCAGTTGGTCTCCAGACAATACTATGATAAGTGCTTTACACCCTTTTTCAAGAGTGCCCCTCTTACAGCAACATCCTGCCCTCCCAGACCTTTCCCCTACCCTCACCTTTCCTAAGACGCTCCACTAAAGGTCCTGATAGTTTTGGGTTCTAGACCACACAGTCTGGAAGACCTTTCTGCCATCGTGGAAATATTCTATTTCTGGATCATCCAGTAAAGTAAGTCATTAGCCACGTGTGGCTATCATTTGAAGTATAGCTAGTGAGACTGAAGAGATGTTTTTTAAGTTTTATTTAATTTTAATTCATTTGAAGTCAAATAGGTATTGGACATAGTGTTCTGGATATTTTCTATTTTCCTATCCTTGCTTCCCAATACTTACCTTGTCTAGGTTCTTCTAAGAAGCAAGAAATTAATTCATTTGCCTGATATGTTAAGGAGTTTCAATAAAGGACCATAGTACCTTCTAGGTATTATACTGGTATTATAAGTTATACTGGTATTACAATTAATACAAAAACGCATAGTACCTTCCAAGTATTGTACTGGTGTTATTACCATACACACACACACACACACCCCACTCCTAGATTTAGGCCTTTCTCAGAACCTTAGATTATAAACTTGTTTGGAAATAGGGCCATTGAAGGTATAATTACTTACAATGAGGTTATACTAAAATAGAGCAATCCTTTAATTCAATGTAACTGGTATTCTTATAAGAAGATGAGAAAGCAGATGGGGACATGAAGGAGAATGTCATGTGACAACAGAAGCTGAGATTGGAATAGCATCTAAAAGCCAAGGAATACTAATGATTGTTGGCAACACTCGAAGCCAAGAGACAAGCATAGAACATGTTTTCTACTAGGGCCTTCAGAAGGAGCATGGCTCTGCTAACATCTTGATTTCAAATTTCTAGCCTCCAGAACTATGAGAGAGTAAAGTTTCTGTTTTTCTAAGACATTCAGTTTGTGATAGTTTGTTAAGGCAGCCTAGGTATCTAATATTGTTACTGCCCAAACTAAGTCTGGCTGCTTCTCATGGTCAATGAAATGAGAGGCTAGAGAAGGTGTTTATCTTATAACCAGCTAGAGGGAGACAGTCAGCAAGCACCATTGGAAAGCTCAGCATGTTTGCAGTATCTATAGAAAAAGATACAAGCAGGTGCAAGTCATTCCTCACTACTATCAATCAGAGCCAATCATATTCCCTTGACTAATTAACCTGATTCCTTCGAATGCTCATTCCTGGTTTTCTCATCTGATCATTCCTCATATAGATCTCCTTATGATTCAGAATTTGGTCCGATTTATCTTTAAAGGCCTTTCTTAATTTCAAAATGGCTGCCATCCTGCTAAACCTTAAACTGGCCTGCTTCAATATAGGTGCTATATTATGTCAATGACACATTATTATGTTAAAGATTATATGATCTTGAATTTGTTCCCCAAAGTATTAATGGTAAAAAAAATGTACTGTACCTACGGTAGAGAAAATAGCAATAAAGATATTTAAGAACAGTGGTCCAGCTATGGTGACATCGCAGTGGTGCACCACTCTACAATGCTAGAGTCACAGGGTTCAGACCCCAGGTCGACCTGAAACCTGCTGGGCCCATGCTCACACCCATGTACCTGGTTGACTGGGGCTGGGGAGGGGATCACTATGTGACAAGACTCTAAGGAAACACTCTTTTTCCTTTTCTCTCTCTTTCTTAAAAAAAAAAGAAAAAAAACATTAAAAACTAAAAAAAGAAGAAAGAATTGTAAAGGACAGGTGATGCCTTAATAAAGTGAGAGCTTCCCATTTCTTCCCACCCAGATCTTTGTCCTAACTGAACTTCACCTCAGAAGCCTGTGTTGCACAGCCTCAGACTTCATACTGAATCAAAGATGTGACTTAAGTCTCAGTGGAAGCCTGGCTTCTGTCTGTAGCCCATTACTGACCTAAAGCTGTTATGATCACATTAAGAAAATAAAACATTATTCATCCAGAGAAAATGCATGACAAGTAGTGATGTCTTATTCTTAAAGTGCATCATTCCTAGAACAGCTTTCCTAAAACTCATGGAAATACCTCCACACGTATGTCTGAGGATATTACATGTCCATATACAGACATGAATGTGGTTATAAATGTGGATATGTGTGAGTGTACATTGTGTAGATACTTCATGGAAATGAAATCTGTTTAATCTGTATGACTGAGAGTTCTTTCAGAGAAACTGGAATCTCATCAATGACTCCCCATAGAATAAGTCATAGACTTGCCTGTCAAAAAGGCAGCTGGGGGAACCAGCAGTTAGCGTAATGGCTATGTCGCTGGACTCCGACGTAGTCGACCGCGGTTCGCGTCCTGGACCCGGTGACTTAAAACGCACGCCGGGCGCGTGTGCGTGCATGCCGAAGATCCCGAGAGGAGAATGGAGGAGAAGGGATTGCGGCGTGACCATCCCCCCGGGGGGTGATTTCTCGCTTTCTGTCTCTCTGTCTCTCTCTGTCTGTCTGGCGAGTGCACGTACCCTATAGCGAAAATCTCTCTCAAAAAAAAAAAAGGCAGCTGGGGGAACCCGCAGTTAGCGTAATGGCTATGTCGCTGGACTCCGACGTAGTCGACCGCGGTTCGCGTCCTGGACCCGGTGACTTAAAACGCACGCCGGGCGCGTGTGCGTGCATGCCGAAGATCCCGAGAGGAGAATGGAGGAGAAGGGATTGCGGCGTGACCATCCCCCCGGGGGGTGATTTCTCGCTTTCTGTCTCTCTGTCTCTCTCTGTCTGTCTGGCGAGTGCACGTACCCTATAGCGAAAATCTCTCTAAAAAAAAAAAAAGGCAGCTGGTAGTAAGTTAAATGTATATTGAAGTCAACCTTAAGGACACACCCAAGATAATCTAGGCTCAACCTGAAGGAGAGTCAAAGGCCTGAAGACCCGTGGCTTTGCCTCCTACCTGTTTAAGAAACCTAAAAGTTAGAGCAAAATCATATCTTGATATCCCAGTGTACTTTTTCATGAGCTTTGGAATGTTCTAGTAAAAGATTTCATTTCTAGGGACTCGCAGGTGGCATAGTGGTTAAGATGCTGGACTCTCATGTAGTTGTCCACAGTTCAGGTCTGAACCCAGCAGCTTGAATCTCATGCTGGGTATGTGAGCATGTGTACTCCAAAACTCAAGAGAAGAATGGAGGATAAGGGATTGTAATGTAGCCAACCCCACTGAGGGGGGAGTGATTTCTTCCTTTCTGTCTCTTTCTCTCTTAGTCTCTCTAGTGAGCACATGTGCCCTTTAGCAAAAATCTCTCAAAATAATAACTAAAATAAAGTTTTGCTTCTGTCTTGGTTCATTTTCTGCTGCTACAATAGAATACGCTAGACTGGGTAATTTATAGGGAAAAGAGAATCTTACTATTCTGGAGGCTGGGAAGCCCAAGATCAATGGGACACATCTGATGAGAGCCTTCTTGCTCTGTCACTACACAGCAATAGGCATCATATGGCGAGAGAGCATATGAGATCCAGAATTGATCCTTCCGTAGGAACTCGCTCCTGTGGAAATTAACCACTCCCATGAGAGCTACATTAATTCATTCACAAGGGTGGATCTCTCATGACCTGATCACCCCTTAAAGTCTTTGCCTCTTAATGTTATCACAATGGCAATTAAATTTCCAGTGAGATTTGGAGGAAACATTCAAACCATAGCAGTTGCCATAATATTTAGTCAGATATATCTATTTTACAGTTCTTAAGCATGCTTGAAATGTGAAATGTTGTATGGACACAGTCTCTATCTCAGAGAGATCACAGGAGCTGCTGTCTGCCTGTTCAGATTTACTAGAGCAAACAGACCCAATGATGTTTCCTTCCACAGGGATTTCCCAGAACCCTGACAGGTCGACAAAACCCCTGGAGACTACCTGGGTCAGGAGGGGAGCACATGTAGTAAAAAAATAAAATAAAATAAAAAATTGCTCTTATTTATATATTATTTATAAATATTCACCTAAGAGAGGACGTGGCAGAGTAAGAGGCTGAGAGAGACTTTTCCTATGGCAGGAAAGACCTTATTAGACCATAATTGATGGGATCCAAGAAAGGC